ACTAGCTGGATTATTGTTTGACCATGACATATTGGGGTGATGCAGCTCCCAGTGGACATAGATCCCTATGATGAGCACCATCAGATAATTCGCAAAAAGAAACCTCCTCTTGTCTACCAAGAGCAATCTTGGCCAACCTTCGTTCGAGTGCATCAAACTTGGAATCCAGTTTAGCATCTATCTTGGCTTCTAGACTCGCAACTCTGTTAATCTCATGCAAGCCTCCTCTTCTTCGAATACTGGTCTCACTACCCCATTCAGTGGCTTCTGAACAGATCTTCTCTACCAGATCATATGCTGCTGGTGCCTCCATGCTTGTGAAACCATTTCGAGAAGCATTATTCAGGGCATCCCGGAACTCCCTTCTGATTCCATTGAAGAAAGTAATGATCACGTTCCAATCTTCAAGACCATGGCTTGGGCATCTCTTTAAAAGCTCCTTATAGCGCTCCCATGCCTCGGTTAGACTTTCGTCTTCAGCTTGTTTAAAAGTGACAATTTCCTCTTGCCTCTTCATTGCCTTGGCAGGAGGAAAGTACTTATCCAAAAAAGTCTTCTCAAGCTGACCCCATGTTGTGATGGAAAGGGGTGTTAAGTTTTGGAACCAGTGTGATGCATTCCCTAGCGGAGAAAATGAGAACATCCGAAGATGGATGGCGTCATCAGACACAGTCGGGCTCTTCATTGTATCACAAATTCTTGCGAACCGGCAGAGATGTTCATGAGGATCCTCAGTGCTGGCCCCTGAGAAGGTGTACTCATTAGTGATCATATTGATGAAGGCTGGGGTAATCTCCATGTTTGCATCCCCAGCCGGAATGACAACACATGAAGCTCGGGCTCCAGTCCTTCGATTCAAGCGAGCCCTGATCGAACGATCCTGTTCTGCCATGATGACAGGCTCGATGATGCGCGGCGGCGGTGTCGGTGGTGTAGGGATGACAGGTGGTGACACCTGCCTTCTCGGTTGACGATTCTGAGTTAGGGAAGGCCTAGGAGTTGTGGATGTGGTAAGCTGCTTCCCTAACATGACCTGCTTCCTGTTCTGTCGGCAGGTCCTCTCGATCTCGGGATCTAGTGGCAGTAAATTGCCAGTCGTCCTCCTTGGCATGCACGAGGAGGATAAACCTGAAAATTCACCTGCAAACTAACACCCAGATCAAAATAGTTCACTCACAGAAATCAACAAAAATAAGGTATGGCAGTCCCCGGCAACGGCGCCAAAAACTTGATAGGGCAAAAGCGTATGCCTTAATCCTATCTCGTAGTAAACCGGAAAGTCCGGGTATCGTCTCTCAGGGACAAGTACAACCTTATTATTTATCAATTCTATAGAGTAAACTATAGGTGGTAATGGTTTAATGAGATTATTAACTACTAGCAAAATAATTAAACTAATTAAGCAAAGTACAATGTTCGGGAGAAATTCAATGGAGAAAGCTCTGGGAGAAACACCGGGATTCACTACCTATCCTATCCAGATTAATTCACATACTCCAATCAATTTAATCCATATCTCTACAGCCAGGATATCACGAATGTGCTAGCTATCCCTGTCGGGAATTACTACGTACTAAACAATTAAATCAAATCCTACTGTCGTAGCTCAATGACCTAATTATTTAGCCTGAAGATCGATTTCCTATTTAAGACCGCATAGCACCTTAATTAATCCACTGTAGCTTCGATAAGTTACTATGTCACATGAAATAGGTTCAGTTATCAGGGTTTCATTGTCGCTAATAACCTAATTAACTACAAATCAATATATTGGTGGCCAGTCAACACAAAGCATTAAGCAATTCCATGCAATAGAGATCGGAAGAAAAGAAATACGAATCAATCCATCAAATCAAGAAATAGCTACATCATATGGTGTTTCCCCCAGAAATTGGGGTTTAGCTCATGACGAAATTGAGATAAAACCTTAGGGTTTTGTTCATCATGTTCTAAATCAACAATAAACATCTAATTCGGTTTAGAAAATCCAACCAAAATAATCACTCTCGTTGAATTCAGCTCAAGCCGCTTGGTGAAGTCGATCGAAATTCTCAATCGCACTGCTGCTCGCTGCTGCTTTTTGCCTGCGCCCTTCTGCCTTTTCCAAAAAGTTTCGGCCTCCTCTCTACTCGAGAATTCCCCTCCCAAAAACAGAGATTTCGTCTTTTCTCCCAATAATAATTCCCCGGTGCCCCGCTCAAAATAATAAAGCCGCCCAGAGAATTATTTTCCCCAGCCCAAAGAGAACCCCTTTCTTGTGTCCAATTAATTAATTAGCAATTCCCTCCGGTCCAACTTCCTCCCAGTAATTCCTCCCACAGTTCCGTTTCTTTTGTTTCGCCCCATAAAGAATTTCACCCAAGTCCAATTTATTTTCAAGAATTCCCGTCGCTAGCCCTCGTCCAAGACTTTCGTCCTTTTCCTTTTTCCACCAAGAATTTTTGTGTCCCCTCAACAGAATAGAGTTCCCCCCAAAATTAAAAGTCTCCTACCATTAATTGCCTTCCAAGTCTCCCCGTGCCAAATTAGTTCCCCTGGAAATTCATCCATCAAATCCAATTACGTGTCCAATTAAAAGTCCCCAAAATTAGTTGCTCCAGCCGACTTCCCTTCCAAGCTTCCGTCCCCAGTCCAGACGAGTCACTTCCGGCCCACTGCTCCTCCTAGCCCAAGTGAGTATTCCACCAGTGATTCGAGCCCGATTGATTGCTTGTGCAATTTCTTCTTTTTCGTGATTTCTCCACCTGTAACATATTAAACTCATGGCACTAGGCAGTTATGGTTTTTCAACCATTTCTGGATTAGCGAGCCCTAAAATAACACCAATCGGCTTAAACAGATCATAGGATAGTCACATAAAGTTCAAAAATCTGATATATTAAAGCCGATTATCACGACTCATCCTAGGATATGAAGTCAAAGTTCGTCAACAATCACACTTAATACATTTTTAAAATTTTGATTTATAATCCTCGACTATTAATAATTCCAAGGCAGAAAACAAAATTATTAGCATATGACGTAAGACTTCAATAGAGTTTGCTCAATCAACATGATCTATAACCAATATTGGAAATGTAAACTTAGGATACATTATAAATTAATGCACCCTTGTTTCCTATGTTTTCACTTAATCATAATGCATAAGAAGTTTTTTTTTAAGAAATAACTATTATTATTTATGTGTCTGTTTGTTTAAAATGCTTATTGCAATGTAATATATTTTAAATTTTTAGTAAAAATGAGTAAAATTTTACTTAGTAAGCTTAAATCAAATATTTTTTGGTTTTAAGAAAATATGATATGTGTCACTCTAAAGACATTAGTCTATTGCAGCGTACATCGATATAATGCAAAATCAAAGACAAAAAAATATTTGTTATAATAAAAATAAATATTAAAAAAATGCAGATAGCAAATATGATATATGTCACTCTCCAAAATTTTTTATGGCGTATATCAATACAATGCAAAAATAGAAAAAGGAATTTTTTTATAAAAGAAAATGAAATACTAAATGAAGAAAGAGATAGTGCCATAAATATGCCAATAATTATTATCTTTTTTTTTTGTAAAAAATGGTCCCCCTTGGCAACTTGTGAACTCTCCAATTGCTAATGTGGCAAACAATTACTTTTGAATTGCCATATTAATATGTATGTATGTATGTATGTATGTATGTATGTATGTATAGATAGATAGATAGATAGATAGATAGAAGTGTGGATGTCGACGAGATCCCGGAAGCTCATATAGACGCGATGTCCTCTGCTTTGGACTCATCCAGTGATGCTTCCACTGTGGCGGCGGCTAACCTGGCGGCTAGCTTAGAAATCCGTCTGGTGGAAAGTTTGATTAAACTTGGAATGGTCGTTCGAATCGGTTTCTGGTTCAAATTGTATCTCTTGCTCCGATCTCTTTTGCTCCGGTGGCGGGCTTTGCTCAACGAACAGGGACCGAAAAGAAGAAGACAATTGAATTGTTTACTTTCAATTTTTTAATTATCGTCTTTGGTTTGTTTGGGAAAGAACCAAAATCAGACTTAGCAAAGAGGGATTTCCAAAAGCAATGGGAGAGGAAAGAGCTGCGGTTGTGTTTAGTTAAAGGCTAGCAAGGGTTACCCAACCCAAGCTATGAACCGTTGCAACAATGAATTGGGAAAATCCTAGCAGCGGTTCCGTAACCCTTGATATGGAACCCTTGGCATAAGTCATTTTCCTTGTAGTGTGATTTACAAGAATTGGTGTTGATTTACTTGGTTATGTCTATCTAACTCCAATTATAATTAATTAGTTGCGCCCTTTTTTTTTTAATAATTATTGCGCCCTACGTAGTGAAATAAAAAGCCTTGCGTGTTGAACCCCAAAGTCAATTTGATTAAGTCCATTGCCTTGGCTTTACCTTTGCATGTGATGTCTTGTTTCAAGATGCCTCTCTCGTTGTGTCGCTTATTGGACAAACATGTTGCTCGCTTTTGGTGGGGTGATGAGGAGTGACACTCGAAGATCAGGTGGATGGCCTGGAGAGATATGTGTAAGAGTAAGCATGAGGGGGGTATGGGCTTCCGCCGGTTTGAGCATTTCAATCAAGCCCTTTTAGCCAAGATCGGCTGGCATATTCTAGTTAAGCCTCAATCTCTTCTAGCTCAAGTCTATAAGGGTAAATACTTCCCCTCTGGGCATTTCCTCAATGCTAAAGCCAGGTCGCGCCCATCTTGGGGATGGCAAAGCATTTTGTATGGTCGGGATTTATTGGAGATGGGTCTCAGATGGAAAATTGGGAATGGGCGTTCGGCGTCCCTACTCCGATCCCCTTGGATTCCTCAGCCGCAGCTTGATCCCCCAAGGTATAATCCGGTGGTGTTACCAGTGGGGGGAGATCCTACTGTGGCTGAGGTAATTTGCCAAGGGGAAGGGCGATGGTGTGAGCTCAAGCTTAGCCAGTGGTTTGATCCGCCTACTTGCCGTATTATAAAAACTATTCTCCTTCCCCGACAAAACATAGAGGATAAACTGATATGGCATTTTACTCCTGATGGGGTGTTCTCGGTCAAGTCAGCCTATCATCTGGCTGTCTCCCTTGATAGTAGGAGGGGGAGGTGGAAGGCGTCGACTAGTTGGATGGATAGATCCAGTTGGATCCGGTTGTGGGATGCGAATATTCCCCCTAAGCTGAGAGTCTTTGTTTGGCAAATTCTAAATCGAATTCTCCCCACCACGGAGGCCCAATTGCTCGAATGGTCCCTATCCTCCCTCGTTGTCCGGTCTGTTGGGGTGGCCCGGAGACCATGGAGCATCTGTTTCTGGATTGTCCGGTGGCGCGTGAGCTCTGTGGCCTCTCGGGGCTAGAGTACTTAGGGGAGGGGTTCCCTCGCCATATTATTCCTCTGTTTCTTAAACGTTTGATGGCCTTAATTCGGCAACCGACGCTCTTCATGGCAGTCGTCGCTGTCCTTTGGCGCATCTGGCGGTCGAGAAATTGGGTGGTGTTTAAAGGGAAGCAGTTTGGGTTCCCCGCGTTGATGAGGCAGTTTTCCCAGCAGTATGAGGAGTGGGTGGGGTTACCGGTGGATTTGCCTCGCGTGCCTTCTCCCCCGATGGTTCCACGGTCAGCTGGGTCAGGGCAGGCTGCAGGGTTTACTTGCCAGTGGGACAGGGCTACCAGGAAGGATTTGCATTCAGCAGGTGGCATGGTTCTTCTGTCTCCCTCTGGAGATGTTCTTATGGCTCACGGGATTCAGTTTCAGGGGATTGATGACCCTGTGTTCATGGAGTTGCTAGTGCTCCGGGAGGCTATTACTTGGTGTTTGGGGCAGGGGTTTACGGGGATGCGCTTCGAAGGGGATGCTAAGATTGTCATTGATAAAATCAATTGCAAGGATGCTAGGGACAACCGGATGGGCTCCGTTCCGGAAGAAGTCTTCCAATATTGTCGTAGCAGCCCAGGGATTAGTGTACGGTTTATAGGTCGGAGTAGTAATAGAGTGGCCCATTTGGTGGCTAGAAAAGCCCTCTCTTTGTACCCGACCATGAGTCGTTTCTTTGATTTCCGGACCTGGCTTGGTTCCAAGGTGTAACTATCTATGTTTTAGTATCAATATATGATTATCTTTTGTAAAAAAAAAACCAAGTCAATTTAGCTGATTCCAACGAGCTAGACTCGATCGACGAGGAAGGAAGTTGATGATGTTCTGCCAACAGATCCAACAATATTGCAAGCTCGTGGAACATTTAAACATAACGAAATGAAAAAAAAAAAAAACAAGTCGCTATCTGGTTTTTCTGTACAATGATTAGCACGCCTGCACGCATTATTTCCAAACCTAATGCTTCTTTGTCTCTTTTTCAGCCTGCACCGTGCACAGATAAAACCAACCAAGTTGTGACTAAAGTCGTCAGAGTGTTTGTGGCCATGATATATTATTATAGACTGTGAGCATAATATATATATATATATATATAGAGAGAGAGAGAGAGAGAGAGAGAGAGGAAAAATACGTACAGCTTTGATGGCTCTGTCAAGGGCATCCCATCCGTATCTGTTGACATAGTCGACCACCGATTTCCTGGCGTCCAGGCTCATCATCTGAAGCACCTTCCTCTGCTCCTCCGAGTATTTGTTGTTGCTGAGGTCGATGATGCCCCCAATCTTCACGTACTTCCTCACCACGTTCTCGTAGATATAGGCGGCCCCGTTGAAGGCCGGCAGCACCAGCCACATGCAGAACACCAACTTCATGGACGCCCAGAAGGGCAGCCAGGCCAGCACTTTCCAGAAGGAGAGCTCGAACAAGGTGATGAAGGAGTAGATGATCCAGTACGTCAGCCACTGCTGGTCGTCCACCATCGACGGGCTCTCGATCGCTCTCAACGACGCGTACAGCGGGAACACCAGGATCAGCCCCGGCCTGCATTATCATTCAAAATTTTGTTTTTTCTCAATTATATATATTAATTAATAACATTCACGTAATTGAAAATTGATTGATACATGAGATAGTAAAATTTCATGTAATTGCTTGCATTTGCATACCCGACGAATGCGTTCAAATTCTTGGCTATTGCTGCCAGGACTCCCATGGCTCTAGGCTCTAGCTCTCCTTTTCAACCCAAAAGGTTGTGATTTTACGACGTACGTACGTACGGTAGGAAATTCCAACTGATGATGAATATATGAAGAAGAAGGTAGGAAAGGCTACCAAATCCTTTTATGTGCTAAGGTGCAACGGCCGTATGTATATATATTTACCGAGCCTTGGCCTTGCTTCCCGTTTGGGTCAAACGCGCGCATACAGATTCCAACAAGCCAAGTAAGGAATACCCGATGCACGGGGTTTCGAAACACACACAAAGGAAACGTCGTCACAAGGGAAGGGAAGGGAGTCAACAAAGGTTTTGCTTTGCCCCACTAACAAGAAAAGCATGAATTTATCATATTTGGATTTTGGTGGCTTTGTGTGCCGTTCCCCTTGGTAGGTCACGTTCAACAAATAATTGGTCTTCAATCAATCCAAAGTTAAGGACAACTAGATAAACTTTGTTTCAAGCCCTAATTGATTCCAACCGATTGTATCACCTTCGGTTCAATAGGTATTGGAATTTTTTTAATTTTTTGGAAGGAAAGAATCTACAGAATTTATTAAGTTTAACGGAACCTTCAAGTTTTTCGATGTACTAATAGATAATATTGATATTTTATTTAATAAAATACATTTGTATAGCAAAAATAATTCATGTTATAACTATTGTTCCAACTTATTCAATATTTCATTTTTGTCCTGACCTATTGTTCCGCTAGTGTTGACCTTCTTTGACCGTTAGATTTTAACAGAAAATCTGCTCAACACTAATGTGGCATGTGATATGACATTTTTAATATTAATTTTTATCTATTTTTTCATCTAAAATTAATAAAATAAAAAAATGTAAAATAAAAAAAAGTAAAAAACTCATCTCACTCACCCCTCATCCTCCCAGCACAAAAAGTATTATCTTACACTTAAAAAACAAAGAAAATCCAAAATCCTCTTGAACAACCCTAAATCCCTCATCGCTCTGTGAATCCCGCCTCCTCTACATAGTCGCTGCACTTCTTCTCTACCAATACAACCTCGCCTGTTGCAGGAAGAATTCCCAGAATACAGTAAAAATTAAACATTATTCCCGTAATACATAAGATTTATAAAATTTTCCCAAACTACCCAAATTTCAAAGGGTTCGAGTCTCATAAACTCGAACAACTCTTATGTTCGACGATGAAGAACTCGAACTGGAATCAGATCGAGTTCCTAAAACTCGATCAGCATTAGTTCGATTTTGGAGAAATCGATCAAAGTAGAACGATGACAAAGGACTCGATCATAGTAGATCGAGTTTGGACAACTCGATCCAGCAAGATCGATGCCAAAAACCTTGATCTAGTACAACAACTTTAAAGCACTCGATCCATATCTGCACAAGATCAAAGCTTTAAAACTCGAACAACCAAAATCGATTCCAATAGATCGAGTTTTAGGGACTCGAACTAGTGTAGTTCGATTACACTGAACTCGAACCACTGCTCAATCATTCTGTCCAGTCGCTTTCGGTCCGACATGCTCCAGAATAGGGTGCAGGGGTAAAATAATTGGTTGCCCTAGATCGAGTTTAATGGACTCGAACTAGTGTAGTTCTAGTTTTTTGGACTCGAACCACTCCATCAGTTTACGAGAATAAAAAGCCATCACTTAGCACATTCTGGCAGCTCTCTTCCTTTCTATCTTCTTTCTTCCAAACACAAACTGCAGCTGCTGGAGCACCATAGCTGAGCAAAGAAGAAAAATTTTGGAGGTAAGTTCTGCTTACGTTGTTTGAATGAGCATATTAGAATTTTGGATTAATTTAGTATTGTTTGTACTGTATGTAATGAGTTGCTTCTATAAACTGTAGAAATGGGTAGAAAATTTCGAAAATTCGACTTAAAGATTCGGTGGAATGGTTGAATTACACATTTTCATGATAGTATTGACTACGAAGATGGTGAATCAAGTACTGTCCGGATTGAGAGCCTATTTACTTGGCAAGAACTCAGTCATATTTGTGCGGAACGATGTTGCATAGGAGAGCGAAGAGTATGCAAGATGACTTACCGTATGCCGGTTTACAAGGATTATTCACTTGTATATGAAGGATCAATTTTGTCTGACGATGATGACATTAATATGACGGTGAGATTTATTGCAGAGAACAGATTTCCAACTGCTGAGGTGTATGTCGAGACAGAAGTTTTTGGCCAATATGGTGGCGGCGGTTATACCGAACAAGGTGAAGGATCGGGAGGGTTTTCCGGTTCAGGAGATTTCAGAGTCCTGCATGATGCACCATGGCCAACATACGAGGATCGAACTGCAACTAGTCCATTGATGGAACATGACGGACAGGAGTGGCCAGTATGGGGTGAAGAATGGGATTACATAAGGGCACCCAGATAGTCACCCAGACAAGCATCTACACCAGCATCTGGCATCAACAATGATCCGTATGTGGATAAACCAAGTCCTCCGTACACTAGCGAGGCAAGTGACGTGGAAGATGAAGAGTTAGAATCAATGAGTAGTTCAGATGGTGAAGATCTGGAAGTTGATGAGGGGGAATTTGAGCACCCCACACCTCACTACACGATGGTGCCACAACATCCTCTCTATGCTCACAACGACGATCCTGACCTCCCTCCTATGCCTATCTGGATTCCTGACTCTGGATTCGTGGTTGGCCAAACATTTGGAGGAAAGCTTCAGGTGGTCGATGCATTGAAATGAACTGCTATGCGAAGAAGCTTTCAATATCGTGTCATCACTTGTGACACTAAACAAATTCATGTTCGTTGCGAGAACCATAGCGACGGATGCATGTGGCATGTTCGGGCAACATATGTTAAAAGAAATGGGGCTTGTCTCATTCGTAAGACAGAAAACAACCACACTTGTAGGTTGTCACTGATTTCTCTAGATCACCGACAATTGAGTGCAAGGATGGTTGCACAAACAATCAAACATCTGATTGAGGCACAACTTGGGATCACCATGAAGAGTGTCATCGCTGAAGTGAAGAATCGAAATGGCTATACCATCAGTTACAAGAAAGCATGACATGGGAAGCAAAAAGCTATGGCAGAGGTGTATGGCGATTGGGAAGAGTCATTTGCTAACATGCCTCGTTTGATTCTTGCAATGGTGGACAAGAATCCTGGGTATGTTTTTGTGCCTAGTTTCGAAGATTTCTATGGGGGTGCTAAACGCGTGTTTAAGCGACTATTTTGGGCATTCAAACCATGCATTGATGGTTTCACCCATTGATGGCACCTTTCTGACTGGCAAATACAAGGGCACTCTACTCGTTGCCACTAGTGTTGATGGCAGTATGCAACTTTCCACGCTTGCTTTTGCTATAGTCAAATCGGAGAACAACTTAAGTTGGGCATGGTTTTTTTTCCCAACTATACAATCGTGTCACTCAACGGAAGGACATTGCCATACTTTCTGATCGACACCATGGAATTGCACATGCTTTCTATGACATGCCCGAGGAGCTAGGGTGGAAGTGGGCTGGTGCATACAACATTTCAAAAGCAATTACGGGAAGTACTTTGGTAGAACTTATGGACAGCGTGCAGTTTGGCACGCTGGTAACAACAAATAAGATGTTGTGATTATATCAATTGGTTGAATGCGTATACTCCTTTACTAACCTTATTTTGCTTTATTGTAGCTATTGCTTTTCAGACTCGAAAGTTTGTAGACAAAATGAAGAGCATAAGGGAGGTCCACTCTGAAGGTGCAGATTGGCTAGAAACTCATCCTTTTGAGAGGTGGACGTTACATCAAGACGAAGGGCATATGTATGATATAACAACAACGAACATGGGTGAGTGCCTCAATGGTTTGTATGTTGGTCTTCAAGCAATGCCTATCTCATCTATAGTCTTGCATACCTTCTTTCGTACGGTGACATGGTTCGTTGAACGCTACCAAGCAGCATATCAGATGCTGAATGCTGGAATCTACATCCCAAAGAAGATTACGGATTATATGAAACCATGGTCGGAAAGGGAAAAATGGCATAAGGTGACTTTATTTAGTCGAAGAGATTCCCGCTTCGCAGTAGTAACAGGAAGTGGATCAGATAGTTCAAAGGGTGGTAATGCTCAAACAGTTATACTGGATGCAAAGAATGGAATAAGAGAGTGTACTTGTGGGAAATTTCAAGGGAGACACCTGTCTTGCTCT